CATACAGTGAAGGAAGTGAAAACAAGGGTGAAACATAACAGCCCCATCCTTATGCGTTGCCTGCCTGATGATCCAATGATACTATCGATGGGCCTGTCCTTATGCATTGATCTGCCAGATCATACCATCACTGGGCCCTTTCATTTGATTCAATGCCATCCATGATATGATGATGGGCCTGTTGCTATCTGTTCATCTGCCTGATCACATTCTTGACTGTCCCATCTATTTTATTCTGCATTATCCATGGCATGGCAATAGGTCTGTCCATATCATGTGCCATAATCCATAATATGTCTGATGGGCTGTCCAGCTGATGCAGCATCATCAGTGATATCATCCACAGGCCCATCCATTTGATGTAACACCATCTGCAATATGCTGGATGGGCCAGTACATATGTTCTGATCTGGCTGATCGAACCATCAATGGGCCCATCTATTTGTTCCTGTGTCATTTGTGATGGGCCCATCAGTTTGTTGCACCACTGCATCCCCCAAATGCCAGAAGGGCCTGCACATAGTTGTGACAGCTCTGTCATGGGCTTGCTCTTATGTTGCCATCACTCCAGGTCCTCAGGCCTGTTTATGTGTCATGGCTTAATTAATTTGATGGGCCCACACTGAGCTTTATATGAGTAGTGTTAATTTGGCATGCAGGCTACCCATATGTTGTGACTAAGCATGACTACACTATGTGCATTTAGGCTAATTAGGATGGGCAAAAAAGCATTCATTTATGGTCTGATACACTTATAGTACATCTAACTATCATATACAATGCCTACAGGGCAGGGACAGAGCCCAGGAAGGAAGGGGAGGCTGGGGGGCAATGAGGGTAGTGTGTGGGAATGTTGAATATCAGGCACATGCCAAATGAGGACATGTTTTGGGAGCAGCAGCTGCGCTTTTTTATGCTTATGTAATTACATAAAATGCCAAGGAGTGATGAAAATAAACTATGGGGATTTGTGGGGAGAAATGGCCAAGGGGAGGGGGGGGTGGGCAGATCTCAGATCTGGACTACTAGTATATTGATGCCTCACTACTGGTATAAGGGAGTTAGGCAGTCTTGTGTCACAGTAATGCTACAATTATCACACTTTGACACATCAAAATGACACTATAGCCTGAACTAACAGTGGCAGGTGATCAATAGAAGCATGAGGGGTGATGATGAGCATGTTCAACTGTTAATTTATCTATGCCCTCACTCCACTCTGCTTCTCCCTTGGCAGACTTTGTTCCTGCCAGTCCTCCACTATTCAGAGTTCTGTTCATTGGTGTCAGACTTGCTTCTGCACCTCTCCCCAGACCCTGTCTAGCATCAGAGTTGGCCAGAGTAGGCCCAGACTTGACAGTATATTCATACTCACACTTGTGCAATCTCATTTTCTGTCCTCTGAAAAACATATGCCATTATGAGAACTCAAGCTCAATCCCAAAGAGAGGTTGCCAACAACCTTGCTGCAGTGCTGCTAATCCATATCACCTCCCTTCAGCCACTGAACAGTTTCAATCCTTTTCTGCTCAATGCTGCTCTTGTGCTGAAGGTGAAAGTGCTTTGCAAGCTGGTCATTCTGACCTCCATCTGACAGTCTTCCATACTCCATCACCTTGTAACTGAGATGATGGACCCAAGCCCAATCCTGATGGTGGTCCTGATGGTGGGGACAGTGGTGATGAGGATATCCCTGAAAGCCCAGCTGAGTTCATGCACTGGGGACTCCACTCTGAAAACCAAGGTCCATGAGCCTGACACCTTCAATGGCTCCAACTGTCAAAAACTCCATGAGTTCCTCATTCAATGTGAGTTGAACTTCCAAGACCACCCCCATGCCATCCACTCCGACAGAGCAAAGGTTACCTTTGCTCAGTCCTACCTGAAGGGTAGGGCCCCAGCTTGGTTTGAGCTGGACCTGCTAAACCCCAAAGACTATGACCATCTGCTCTGGATGGAGATGACCTGCTCTTGGGTGTACATAACATCATCTGATATTTTCCTGACAGGCCTGCCCATAAGATTAGATGGGTAGAACATCCCTTGGACAGGCCTGTCAATTGGGCATCATATCATCCACCGTATTAGTGATGGGCCTGCCCATATTTTCCAACTGGTGCCTTATCCCTTCAATGGGCTGGAAGGGATAAAAACAAAAAACATTACTGCAGATCAGAAAGCCCAAATTTTCATGCTTGTCCAGAGCACCAAGGAATTTCACTACACTGCAGCTCATTGGTGGACTATCCAAGCCTCATATATGCCCAATGACTTTAGGGCAGGCTTAATGCTTATCTATGATTGTGTCATAGGTGATGTCACCACTCTAACTAAGTTAGGCTTAGACAATACATGCATGAGAAGGCAGTTAGTGACCATCCAATAGGATTAAGAGCGCATACACCACTCATGATCACCGTCCCTGTGACTCCCACAGGTTGTCAAATTAGGGTTTGATTTTGAAATGGTTTGTGAAACTGGATTATTCCCTCAGGGTTCTGCTGCGGTTATCCAGGAATATCCCCATTCCTCAAGGACATCGTGTGTTTCTTGATCAGCAACTATAAACCCTAGATCTATTCTCAGGCTGGTCATGGCCAACATAGAGTTTAAGCTGCATTCTTCTAGAATCAGCTCTGCCTCACGCATAGCACATGTACGATTTTCAATTTGAAGGAGATGAACCCTATCATGTTCTTCTAGTAAATCCTGTGCTGACAGCATAGGATTATAACATCTAGAGATAAGGTTTAATCGTTCCTTGTTCCAGACCATGGCGAGGTTGCCTAGATTATGAGTACATTTTCTAGATATGACCCATTTAGCTTCGTTGAATAGTGCTGCGCCTAGATCAAACAACCAGGGATCTCTTTCCTCGAGGCCATCTGCATCCAGAAAGAAGGCACATCGGTGGATCAAGACCTGATCAGGGGTCCGAAAAAGGAGATCTGCCAATGGAGGCTGTTCAAACAGAATTGGTAGGTGAGTTGGGAGTTGCAGCGGTGCATCATGACAGGCTAAATCACCACTTACCCAAAAATCATGTACATTTTTAATTGGGAACAGCATTTGACTTTTAAGGTCATGTATATTGAACTCATCCCACATTGGATTGAACTGGGTTTTCAAGGTGATCACCATTTCAGGTTCTCCCTTTTCAGCAAAGCACTTATGCCAGTGATCAGTACAGTTCTTTTTCACCCAAGTTTGTATCACTCTGGCTGGGTACCCTCTACTCATGTATAGGTCAGTCAAGAATTTAACTGCATCCAAGTAGTACTCTATGTTACTGGACAACACAGCTAGATGGGACAATTCCCCAATGAAGGTGCCTTGTTTTACATCAAGGGGGTGGCTGGAGTCCCAGGGGATTCATTCAAGGTGGTTATTAGGTTTCTGGTATGGCTTCCATTGGATCCGGTTTTTGTCATTCAACCAGACTTGCATGTCAAGAAAGATGCAATGCCATTGAGCCAGGGCCCAGTCTATTTCACAACCTCTTAGGTACCATGTATGAGTAGTTAAGTATAGTGCATCTTCTGCGGAGTCAGTGCAGATGATCATAAAGATGTCATCTATGAATCTTCATAGAAACAAAACATCCCAGTTGCATCCACAGATAAAGTCAGATTTAGCCACATATAGGTTAGCGATGTCAGGGGACATGGCAACACCCATAGCAATTCCAGCAACCTGTAAGTATCGATAATTGTGGAATTTGACTTGGAGGCCAGTGGTACCAAACTGTAGGATATCCTCCCATAGTTCAGTTCCCAACTTGGGGACTAGTGAATCCTCTGGATAAGGGAGGGGCCAGGCCTCAGAGGTTGGGTTAGTCAGGAGAGAAATTTCTTCTACTGCCCTACCTGGGTCAATATTTGGGTAGTAAGCAACTATATCACCTGTGACTATCCACAGGGTTTCATTCTTTGGTAGATTAGTCATACTGAATACCTGGGCCAACTGTTTAGTTCCCTGGCAAATGTATGGTGATGCTTCTATGAAAGGCTTTAGGATTTTAGAGACTAATTTCGACATTGGATTCCTAAGATCCGAATGACATGGTGCTATAGGGCACATTTTTACAGGATTCTTATGGATCTTAGGAATTCCATAGAATTGTGGCAGCTTGACCATCCTTAACCAGATGTCACGAGGAATAAACTCATCGCCCCTTTTACAGGGGGGTATGTGTTGGGTAAGGAATGTCCCAAGTTGTCTATACTCAGGGAGTTGTTGGGTGATTTCATCTCATAATCCCCAAAGCATTCTGATATCTCTACCGATCATCTCCAAGGAGGTATCAATATCAAGCTCAACATAACTGGAGTTTTCCTTCTCCAGTAAGTCTAGCATCTGTTGTTCAAACCATTTTACTGTGACCACAGAGCATCCCAGATTTTTGTCCATGGGTAGGACCATTAACTTGTGGCATAGAAGCCACTGCTTGATGTTTTGGATTGAAACCAGAAGCTTGGTGGGTGACCAAGTCTTAGGGGTTATGGCACAGCACTGTTGTGTAACAAAACTGTCTCCCTCCCTTAGACACCATTCAAGCATGGGATTTTCATTTTCCTCAATATTAAAGGGTGCAGCCTGCATCCTTAAATCGTAGTCTGGTTCATAGACATCTCTCACAGGGTTCTCATTGCTCATTGAATTTTCTAGATGGTAGAATTGCCATCTCAGGCATTCTTTTAAATTCATCCAAGCATCATATAATAAACTGGTGTTTGGGAAAGTGGGAAGGAGGAACTTCCACCCAAAAGATAGTGTATATAAGACCAGAAGATCTTCCAGTCCTTGCAGAACATCCAGACCAACATGTACATGGTGTAGTAGTAGACTATTTGCTAATATGTCTATGGGACATAAAGTTCATACAATAATCATGACAGCACAAAAAGGAGGTATATCTACCAGCCAGTCAGGATAAGTACTTGGATTCTCAAAACGAATCATACCAGTACTCACTTGTTCCAGGTAGTCGAAGGCATTGTCTATGAAGATTTCTCTTTGCCTTTGCCCTTGGAGTGCTTGGCATTCTTGGACTTCTTTGACTTCACCTTTTTCGAGTCCAAGGCTGTTGACTGCTTGTTGGAATTTTTCTTCGAAGATTTCTTCTTCTTGGCTTTGGACTTGCCAGAAGTGTCTTTCTTCTTCTTGCCTCACTTGGCGCCCTTGTCAGGTTTGGGACCTTAATCAGTATGAGTTTCTTGTCTGGGTAAAACCTGACTCTCTTACCTTCGCATTCAACTGCCTTTTCACCTGAGTGGCGACCATCTTAGCAATGCTGGATTTATTGGGGACAAATTCCCCAGCAGTTGTGGTGGCTACATCTTTTAATTCCTTCTTCTTTTTGCGTTTGATTTCCTCAGTGATGATGCGAGCATGGGCAAGTACAATGATGCAGGCGACAAGATTGGGAATCTTGTGAATGAGGGAGTTATAGATAGCTTGGATGTGGGGGGCGGGGATGAGATCCTCATCTTCATCCATAGCCTCCAGTGCCTCATTTAACATCTTCTTTGGGTCCTTGGGGACCAAAGATGACTTTTTAAGGTCATTGTACACCATGGTGATGGACTCATAGAGTCGATTAGTAATGGCAATGATGTTAAGACTGGCCTGTAGTTGGCACTCCTCTTTTTCCTTCTCCATAATGATGGTGTCAAGCAGTTCCAGAAGGTACTGCTTATGGCCTTTGACAATGGCCTCACCAAGGTTGGGGAGAGCAGTCTGAGCCTGTTTAGAGAACTGGACAGTGGGTGGCTTACAGCTATGTAAGAAGTTGGGAATGTGACCAGCAATCTTGTCAACACAAAGGTGGTTGAGTTGGTTGGCTACTAACTTGCATTTCGTTGCAGTATCCACAATCCTGAAGAACTTGGGGCAGAGCGATGACTGGTGCTCCACTGGAAGCAAGTCAATCACTTGTGTGACTGATGAGGCTTCTGCCACAGCTCCTGAACAAAGTTGGACATTGCCATCCACTAAGTCCTGGGGCATCCAGCCACAAAACTTTGTGGCCAGCTTGAGTGGGGCTCGATGCAAGTGCCTTCGAGAGGGGCCTGGGGTCGAAGGACCCTAACCCACCTCTTCGGCAATGGGTGCAAGGCCCAACTGTGAGCCCAAGTCAAGGTTGATGAGGGCTGCAGTCACCTCAGCCTTCCCAAGGGAGGAGCTGTGGCAGGGAGACCTAAAAGAAAGGGGAAGAGAGCTTGTGCGAGGCATAGTACAGTTGAGTATGGCAGGGAAAGGTGGAAGGGATAAAAACAAAAAACATTACTGCAGATCAGAAAGCCCAAATTTTCATGCTCATCCACAGCACTGAGGAATTTCACTACACTGCAGCTCATTGGTGGACTATCCAAGCCTTATATATGCCCAATGACTTTAGGGCAGGCTTATCGCTTATCTATGATTGCATCATAGGTGATGTCACCACTCTAACTAAGTGACATGGGGAATCCAGGTGAGGTATTAAATGTGGCATGCACCCAGTGAGGGATGCATGGTGGGATGTTTTCTGGCTGTTTTCAATCCTGTTATATCCCAGCAACCAGAGATTTTGGTTGGTTGATCTTTGGACATGATATAAGTCATGTGATGTCATGTGACACCAGGTCCACACCTACATGTGACTGATATGATCACATGACAGACCTCTCTGGTCACCTGAGGTGCCTGATCATGTGACTGGTCAACCATGCTGCTCCATGACTATCTGTCATGTGATCTCAGGTCACAAGACTGTGGCAGTGACAGTCAAGCTTGCAAAAATGAAAGTAGAAGAAGGCAATACCCATGGAAGCAAGCAGATCCAACAGCATCAGAATGCATTGACAGCTTTTATTCAGGATGACCTGACTGAGGAACAATTAGCTGCAGCTGAAGATATAGCAGAAAGGTGGAATGGGTGTGAAGGCCCCATGCCAGAGACAAAAGCAAGGTGCAATTGTATGAAGTCAACTTCCCAGTCTTCAATTTATCCTGGTTCCCAGGAAGGCAGCCAAGTATGGGTACAAGTATGTCTGAAACTTTGTGATGGAGATGTGGAGGTATTGCAGAATGTGCATAGTGTGTATGGCTGGGTGGAAAAATGAGGAGGGAACTATACAGGCATGCATGTGAGTCCACCATATTCTCCTCTAGGCATAGGTAAGACTCATGCCATGACAGTATGGACTTCAATAATGAAATTGCAGATGGGATCCCCTTCAATGATGTCTGCACACTGGAAGGAAGCTGGCAAGAGTACCTTGGGGAAACATTTGAGGAACCAGGAACACCACCCAAGCATAATGGTGAGTCAAGTCCTGAATGTGCTCAGAAAAAGACAGTGGCCAAAGCAACAAGGACAGGCAAGGTTGACTTGGTGAAATTGGTGAAAAATGCCAATGGAGGGATTTGGATAGGAGAAATTGTGGGCCTTAGCTGGGACCAACTACAAAAAATGGTTCACAGATTTGTGACTGCTCACTACCATGAGTGGCCAGATTATTTAGTGTCCTCAATCTCTGATGAGAGCTATCAGGATTAGCATGCAAAATCCCTCATCAGCAGTGCTGTTCAAGAGTTTCAGTCATCATCAAGTGGAAATGATAGCAGCCTGCCATCTTCCTGAAGGATTTACCTTTGACTGCAACCCAAGTCACATGTGGACAACAACAGCTACCCAGCTGCTGTCCTTTTGGTGCAAGTGACAGGAATCCCATCCAAATGATGTTTTAGGATTTCAGAAATGGATTGATTGATCTGGCAAGCTGCAGCCACCAGTGGATAGAACTTTGGTGCCCCTCAAGGTTGTGAGGCAGCAGAAATACCAAAAGACACCTGCCCCCAAATGCAAAAAGAATCCTGGAAGGAAAAATGTCAAGGGCAAGGGTAAACAAAGAAATTGGCAACATCCCTGAATAGTGAGCTTCCTGCTGTAACTTGTATTTGCAGCAAACCCTGATCCACACTCAGGGAGCAAGTACACAACTGAACTATGGGACCACCCAGAATACACAGATGAAGATGGATTGGAGAGCATTCCTTTCACTGACCACCCAACTGAGGAGGGGTCAATGAGCAGAAAAAAAGGTGGAAAGCTGAAATCTGCCTTGAAGCACACACACAAGGCAAGTTCAGTCATGTTGAATTAGCTGTTAGGGCTAACAAGTTTGTACTGTGGGTTAAGCAGGCTCTGTCAGAATTGAGTGAGCCAGACATGAATTGACATCAACCTGGGACCAAATACTCATCCAAGTCCAACAATAATGGATCCATGACCACCAATGCAGCATCCACAAATGAGAAACAGGGTGTCCCTGGGAGCACCTGGAAGTCACCTCATGTCAGAAAGGCCAGACACAGATGTTCCATCTCCTGATGCAAAGAGATTGTGCAAGCAAACAGGCAGCAATCAGAAGTAGAAGTAGTTGTCAAATCACTCAAACAGTCAGAGTGGAAAATTTTTTTGGAACTCATGTACAGTCTATAGAGGGCTTGGCCTAGTTTTACACCTTAGAATACAAGTGTATGGCATGTACAGTAGCTCATGCCACCATGGTGGTTGTGAGAGGTGTCTTTGATATCAGAGAGAGGGATAGTTAAGTGGGACAGTTGAGTGGGACAATTGAGCAGAGAGCTGAGCAGGACAGGTTTACATATTGGGCATGTGGAAGCAACTGGTAGCTATCTATGTAGGGAGATATTGCTGCTCATCTCCAACATATTGCTGTTACCCAAAATTTGGCTCTGTCCACCATTGTCCAACCTTGCTTCCCAAGGTGTGAATGATATTCTCACCATTGTTCCTACAAGTTTAAATCTTGATTGATCATCAAGCTATCAGTGAACCCATTGTCATCAAATATGTCCACCAAACAGTCCTGCCAAGTTCATTTCTGTCATCAAGGTGAGGTTGTCTTCATTATTGGATCCAGCAACTTAAGCCATCCACAGCTATGTTGCAAAAAAGTTAAGCACCATAACAATCCCAGTGGCTTGTCATGTGACTGAGATGCCTAATTCAATGGCATACCAATGGCAACGTAATGATGTCTTAGACTGACTTATTATGTTAATGCCACAATAATACTCCATTAGGTATTAGAATGTGCACCTTAAGCCTACAAATCATTGTGAGTGCATATCACATGATTGCTATCAATTAGATTCAACCATCAATTACATAATATTACTGGTTGTGACACTGAGACCTCATTCTCTTCACCTGCATCCTCTCCACCATGCTGCCCCATTGAAACTACCAGTGATCAAAAGAATCTTCCACTCCTCTCAACTGCCCATTAGCTTACAATGGTTGCCTACTAGCCAATATTGCTAAGGAAGCAGCCACTGTGACATCCTCATCATCAGTGCACCCTTGCATTTCTGGGTCTTTGGGTCCTGACTCTGCCATAGCTATGATACCAGCACCACTCAGACAGCCATCAGTAACAGTAGGCCCTTCACAATTTATTCCTGGTATGTAAACCACTAGTATGGCTCTCACTGACACTTACATGGACAGGATCACTGACTAGTTTTGCTCCTGATGAAGATGATGTGTTGATGGGCATGGTGGACCCTCATGGTAGGGGTATGTCAGACTCAGGTAGGTTCAGAGCATATGTGTCATCAGCTGGCATTTGAACTAATCTTTTGTTGCCTATATGATTATAGACTCTGACATGTCAATAACAGCCCATGTGATGGGTCGCTTGGTGAACTCCGCTGCACCAGATGCTGCAAATGACCATCCTCCTGACTTCAAGATTGAATTTCATCCCCATAGTAAGCACCTGACCCTTTTCCAATCCACTGAAGAGTTCAGCCAGCAAAACCTCAAATGCATGCCCCCAGACTGTGAGCCCTGGCGCCCTTTTGCCTTGGAGGGCAATTACATCTTTGCCTTGATCGCCATGGAAGCTGGGCTCAGCTCAAATCAAGTTGACTCCCTTCTCAAGTTGGTTCACTGTATAAGTCAAGGAACCACAAGTGTCACACTATGCAATGATGCTGGGTGCCATACTGCTTTGGATAGAGTGGTGGTGCAGTTAACACCGGTAAACTCTTTGTTACTGGCATGCTTTTGATGTTTGGCTCACTTCCCAGTCATTTGTTAGTTCTCCAAGTTCGAAATTACTGTGCCCTATAAGGGCAATGACATGACATCCCCCATCCATATCTGCCCTCTGTGGGACTGGGCCCTTGACCTCTTGCAAAATTCCTCCCTTGCACCACACTTCGTCTGGGATGCCCAATGGCTCTTCAAACATGATGGTGAGAGATATGAGTGCTTCTACATGGAACCTTGGACAGGCAATCATTGGTGGGATATTCAAGTACATTGTAATTAATGTTATCTCATACCACTGTGCTTTGTAAATTTACTATCCACTTTTTTGTGTTGTGCCAATAAAGTCACAATCACCCAGTCATGTAGATAACACCATCCCATTTGCATTTATAATTTATACCAACAAGATGTGGCTATCATCCCATGGTACTGTCAAGGGTTACCCTGTTGTAGCACATTGTGTGAACCTCCCAGTTCATGTTTGCAATGGTGAGCAATATGGTGGTGGCTGTGTCATTGGCTGGCTTCCGATTTTGAGTACCATGCCTTCATTTTTGAGCAATAGCAAATAGATCTAACAGGTTTTACAGGTTCCTGAGCTAGCAAAAGAAGAGGGAAAGACTGGCTACACAAACTTCAAACATGTTGTCTGGCATACAGCATTTTTTCAGCTCCTTGAGAAGGTTGCAGAGCTCTCAAAAGTTGGTTATCTTCATGAATGCTATGACAAGGTTCTCTGCTGGCTCTTCCCACTTGTCCTTATCCTGTCTGCCAACTATGAAGAACTGTAGGTACTAACTTCTCTGTGACCTGATCGTATTTACCAAGCCTTCCTAGCTGTGTGATGACCCTTATATGAGGCACAAAGTCCAAGTGCCCTTGCCCATTTTGTCTGGTCCCCTTGGAGCGGCTTTGGGATCTAAAGAAGACATATGAAATGCATACTACTGAGCAACACAATAGAGCACTGGCATTATTCAAAGAGAAGAAGATGGTTGGTGAGAAAAAATTGAAGTCCCTCAGGTTATGTCCTGTCAAGGTAGGTCTTTGACACATGTACTATGTTTATGACTGATGGAATGTACAATAGAACACTTTTTGGTCAGTAGAACATTCAGAGCCTGAACAGGCTGCCAGTTTTGAGCCGCTTCACTCCCTGCATGGTGGCATGGGAGGCAAGCACATCCATGGGGAACTCAGGATTGTTGTCAGTGAGCTTGGCTGTGATTCTGAGACATGTTTAGAAGCACAGTAAGAATCTACTTAGTCTGTGGAATGGGCTAACTGTTGTGCAGAGTCTCTACCTTTCCCCATTGGCAAGGCCTTGCACATTTCAATACAGTGATTCACATCACATTTTCCAATGGAAATAAAATGCGAGATCTCACCAGGTAAGTCAATTAGGACATGTTTAAATGTAGTTCAACAGCTAACAATCTCTCTGGTATAGCAATGTTTCTATGCCTCCCTCAACATTTTGATGCTGATGATGTCTTGAGTTGGGTATCAGTTACTTCATATGATCAGTAGCTACCTGCGACTCAATACCCTCATTGGACTTGATGTACACACCGAGAAGACTCTTGGTATGATCGAAGATGAACTTCTCATCTTCAGGGATGAACTAAAGGTATTCTGTTCATCCAACTGTCTATTATCATATAATGATTTTCTATAACAGTTGTACCAATCCTTTGTGTGTCATTTGGATGATATGGATGTGAAGGATAATTGGAACTTTCTGAAGGCACATCTCTGGAAGCATGTTACCCATGACATTCAAAGCAAAGGCATTGTTTGTAACTACAGTGCCTGGCCCAATGAGAAAATGCATGGCCTGCTCAAAGATGCATACCAGGATCACTCAAATGGAAAGGATATTGCAGGGCAGGTACAATTTAAGTTCCTCTCACTTAGGCAATTGACTCATGATTCATCACTCAAATTCTCCATGTTGACCACCACTGACTTGCAACCAAACTCATTCAGGCATGCATCGATGCAGAAAATGAGCATGTTAACAATGCTACTGACAATGATGAGGACCACAACACAGTACTCGAAGGGACTGCCAAGCTTGGCACACCCCAGCAGACTCGCTCACTCTCTGATGTTGAGAACACTAACAAAAATGACCAGGTGTTTGATGGATTCCATTGGAAGCTAGAAACTTTCCTCAACACTTGCCTCCTGACTTATGGGTTCCCCCTCGACAAGTGGATACAATTACAAGGAATGCATACAGTACATCCTCTCCCCTTTATATACAGACTTATCCACATTCCTCTGAAGATCCAGGAGTATCAATATTTGAAGGTCCAGTATGCTTCAATGGTGGACTGGGAGGTCGCCATGAACTACCTCTGATGTAATCCAAGTTTCCATGGTCAGCCATGATATGATTGCACCCTCATTCAGCTTTTGGAGACCAAGACCACTTTTGTTCAACTCATACTCATGTTCACTTGTAAGGTTGCAGTGTTCGAAGACACTTTTCAGTTTGCCCTTGTTCAGCTGCTCACTGCCAGGACTGGAGTGCACAGGTTGGACCAAGATCTTTGACTTGTTTGAATCAAAGCTGTATCTTGTGCAGTGTCAATATTCATTCCTGTGAAATCGATCATTCGAGGCACATTGCTTTACCTGGATCTGAACCACCACAGTGAGTTCTTGGTTGTTGAACACACTGATGGAGACATGTCCCTTCGCATGAGGGAATGGATTCAGACCCAACCCCAAGTGCAGTTGCCAACTGAACAGCCTTCAAGTTCTGACTCTGATCAAATGCTGGCTGAAATACAAAGCAATTCTTCAGGTAAGTGATCCTCATTGTTGTGCATTACTTCATTGAAACTGATGTAATTCTATACTATCATAGGGTCAGAGCAATTAGATGATCTTGGAGGGTTACTGTCAGAATGAATGTGGTCAGTTTGCACTATACATTTCCATGTTCACCATGCTATTACCTCTTATTACATTGTTGTATTTCTATAATATTACTGCTGATAAGGTTGCCAGGGAGTGACCACATGGCATTGTGGTGATGGAAGAGTCAATGAAATGATGTCTAAAGTCATGCCACATGTTAGTGTCCCAAATAAACACAATTTGTCATCATCTCACTGATATGCTTTTTGACATCACCAAGTGGCTGTCTTCTCAGACTCGAGGTGGGCTTGCAAGCTTTTAAGAAGGTCTGTGACTGTAAAACAGACCCAGGCTGAGTAGTGACACTCTTGTCCCCATTACCTTCCACGTGAATCATCTTCTGTTTTGCAGACATGCCTGAGGACTTCACACATGCACTTTGTAGTGTTGATTCAGAATTTTCTGGATCTGACTCATGTCCAGACCACTCTGACTCTGAGGACAACACTTCTGATCTCAAGGAGCTTCAAGAATGGCATCAAATCATGTGCGAACCACCTTCAGATGCTAGCACTCCCAAGCTATGAACTGACTACAACAGTCTACTCTCCACTCTCCCCCAGAACCACAAGAGAGCTGTGGAGAATAACCCAAACATGATATTGGACAATAACATTGCTGCCCAAGCAAAAAAGTATTGTTTCTTCTACCATTTCTAAGTCCTGAAGGATGTTTTCCCACTCATGATTCCACCACCTGGATATGATCTAAACGACCCCACTTGTTGGAGTATGCATGAATCAAAAATTATTGGTCTTAAGGTGGAACTCTATTCCATGCTACCTAGTGACCTCAAGGCCCACATGACAACTTATAGAAACTTTGGCCATGTGGTAAGTGAACATTTACATCCCACAATTTGAATGCTAATGTTTATTGTTTCTAGTTTTCAAATGTGGTTGGGGCTGAAAGACCCAACATCCTCAAGCCTGTCAAGGATAATGTGCAGCAACTCTTCATGCACTTGGGCCTTGGTGCTGATTTATTTGCAGCTGAGAATCCAAGGATTCTATGAGGGTCAAATGAGGATATGAAAGTGTTGCTGAAGATGCACCCAGGGAGTGTTGGTACTTGCTACACCCCTCTCTCCCTGATCCTCTTCCCTAAACCAGATGCTCTGGTGGCTAGGGACTTATTCAAATCCCAACTCCTAGTCAATGTAAGTTTTCTTCACTACTCACAATTATATCTACATTAATTACTTCTGCAAGATCATCCATGTCATGGTGTTTGGCAAGGGTGTCCTCATGGGCAAGCGAAGAGGTGGTCCACAGGGACGAGGTCAGAAACTGGGGATATCTGGTGCTTTGGCTGGTCTGATCACCATCACTGCAACCTTTGTAAGTCTCATGTCCCTCCATTCTTCTGGCCTGAATATTCTAACAGCCTTGGTATAATAAGCATGGTACTTACTATTGAGTGACTGTGAGCTTACTACCATCAGGGAAGAAAGCAGACTCAAGTATTAGGGGTCTTTCTTGGTGAGCTTGTTAAGGCCCTGGAAGTCAACACATAACCAGAGTGAGCTGTCCTTCTTCTTTTCTTTACGAAGAGGACCAGTGCAGCATAGGGGGAAGAGGTGGCCAGATGAAACCAGTAGTCAGGTTTTCATCAATGAAGGCCTGGAGAGCTTGCAGCTCGACTGGGGATAGCGAGTAGATGGTTCCTACGGGTGGTGTAGTACCCTCTTCCAATTCAATCTTAAGGTCATACTCTCGGTGTGGGGGGAGAGTAGAGGCCTTGGCTTTGCTAAAGATGTCAGCAAAGTCATGGTAGTCCTTTGGTACACTAGCCAGGTCTGGTGGAGGACCGGTAGAAGTAGACCGGGCCAGGACCAGGTCCAATGGGCATAGATGGAGTTGGAATTGGGTGGATCCCTCTAGTTTGCAAGCGTGTACAAATGCAGCTGCATTGATCAGGGCGATAGGGGGAGCTTTCAGGGGGGTGCAAACCAGTGAGTAGACAGATGGTACAGATGGTGCAGGGCCAGGGTTGGGTTGGTCAGGTAGACCAGGTTTGGGAACACTGGTTATGACTGGTGTGGCAGGGGGTGTCAATGGGGTTGGCATTCCTCCTGTAGATGTCTGGAAAGTTAGACTGCTCAATACCCAATCAATCAATGGATTGTAGTGGGTGAGCCAGTCATGTCCAAGGACTATCTTACATTCAGAATCCAACAGGGCTAGAAACAGGGTTACCGGGGTGACATCACCAGTTGCAAATTGAACCAAAAGATCTACTGCTTGGGTGATAACAAAACTTGACAACCCATCAAAGAGCCAGAGTTGGATAGGAGACACAGGATAAGGGGCAAAAGAGTGTTGATTGACAATGTCTTTATCTATGAAACTATGCATGGAACTGGAGTCCACTAGTGTATGGAACCAGGGTAAATTGTGACTGATAATGGAGACATGGGGGGTTAACAAGTTTGGATTAGAAAGAGTGGATGCGTTGAGATGAGCCTCCATAGGTGCACAGCTGGAGTCAACGCAGCTCTCAGTCTGTGCACAGTCCTGAGAGCTGCTACCTATTTTTTTGCCTTGGGGGCAGAGCCCAAGGTTGAGGCCAGTGCTGCCTCAGAGGTGGCTGCAGTGCGAGCTTTGGCTTTCCTGGTTTTCCTGGGGCACTTATCTGCAAAATGTCTGGTGCCCCCACAGAAGATGCAAAGGTTATTGTCTCTACAGTATTTGCGCTCCTCTGGTGTCAACTTGCCGTCCTTGCCCAGTTTGTTTGAGTCTGGCTTGGTTGTGTTAGAGCTGGTCTGGCTGGTCGAGGCAGGTTTGGACTGGGGTTGGTTACTGGAGTTGTTGCCAGTCTTGGATTTCTCTTGACCGAGCTTAGACTGATTACTGTGGCCGGAGTTGGGAGTAGATTTGTTACCAGAGGACAACCCCTGGTGCTTACTAGACCGCTGAACCTCCTCTTTGTGCTCCCAGTAATGTGCATCAATCTCCTTGGCTAGGTGGCAAAGCTCGTGAAGGGTTCTTGGTTTGCTGACCCGGCAGGCCTCATCTTTGATATGGTCAGGGAGACTGGTGTAGAAGAAGTGGCGCAGAGCACCATCACTGTATCCCCAGACTTGTGAGGCAAGCCGGTTGAATTCGACCACGTACTTGTTGACCCGGTGATTATCTTTCATTTGGAGGTGGTCTAGCTGGCTTTCAGTGTCAGCCACCGGGTCATGAGGTCCGAAAGTAGTTTGAAGTTCTATGATGAACTCCTTCCAGGAGTCCATCCAGTAGGGCTAGTCCTCTGGGTCTTCAGTCCCAAGTAGGTCCAGTTCGAACCACTCGAGAGCCATCCCTTTCAGGAATGACTGCACGAAAGTGACCTTGCCTTGATCACTTCAAAAGGCCCAGGGCTGGTCCCAGAAGTTAAGTTTGCACTGGATAAGAAATGCACGCAGCTTCTTTGGGTCTGTCCCATCGAAGGTGTCTGGTTCATGCAACTTGGTTCTAGAGGACGACTCAGAGCCAGTGTGAGCATTACGTGCAAGGAGCTCGATGGCTTTGGCAAGATTATCAAGCACGGTTACACCAGGCTCAACATCATCCTCTGGGAGGGGTTCTTCATCATCATTATCCAGGTCATCTCCCAGCCTGTTGTTGCCAGGACCATCATCACTGGGGTGATTGAAGTCATCTGGTTTGTCCGGGTCTGGTTCATCATTTGGATCGTTAGTGGGTGTGAGAGGTCGATTAGGGATGGGGGTAGTGGATCTATGGGCTGAGAAGCCCCTGAAGTTATTGACTTCACCGGGTGACCTTCTGGCTGTCCCTAAGGACACCAGGGCAGTGGTGTGGCACAAGTCGACTGCTGAAGTGGAATCTGGGTTGGTGGTAGCATGTGCCCATGCTGCTTGGGTTCTGGTTTGGGTAGGCATGCAGAGGATTGAGCAGAAGGGTGTTGACCCACACAAGTGTGAGTCTGAAATACTGTTAAGTCTGGGTCTTCACCAGTCCAAGGCTGGTCCAGAGTCTGGTCTGGGGTTAGAGGGTAATATGAGATATCAAGGGGTTTGGACTATTGGACTTAGTGACTGAGGGCGCAGCGCTATTCCCTTGTGTGGGCCATAGTCCGGTCGAGAGACAGAAGACAGGGGATGAGAGAGACCAGGTTAAGATGAGAACTAGTTTGATTTCAGACTGAGGCTAAACAGAATATCCTATGGCTTAAATACCTGAAGTAACCTAAGTGTAATGTAGCACCGGAGACTGATCTGCACCGGTACAGCGATGATTGGTAAGTAGTATTACAAAGAATCTTATCAAGCAAGGACTATGAACAAGGGATTACCAGGAACCAGGGCAGGGCATGTGGCTGGGCTGGGTGTTACACTGGCCTGGTACCAACTGAGGGAACAACTCGACCAGGCACTGCCTTGCAGTGCCTTGCGAGCCAACACGTTTCTGGGTTGAAGGGTTAAGGCCGGGACTGGGGCAAGGGTTGGACAGGACCGGTCGAGACTGGGGTAGAGCCAGTCTGGGGTGGTCTGGGCATGGTCATGACAGCTGTGGTTGGAGCTATGCAGACCCCGCCAGCAGTGATCACCCAGGAGACACCTACTAAGGAACATTGTATCATCCAGTATAGGGTAAAGGGTAAGTAGTTGTATTGCCATAGTCAGCCATGTGAGCATGCAAATTTCAGGCTTTCTGGCTATGAACCCCTACTTTATGTGCTGTATGTGCTACCATGCCCTTGCAAATACAGTTATCCTTTTCTTTGATTCCTTTGAATTGATGTGACAACTTTCAACCAACAAATATCAGGTTTTGGAACATTGAGTTCAAATGGCCCTGTCTCCCTCTCATTGCAACTGCCCTTGCTGAAGAAATACTGCCCCATGTTGTAGGTGTTTGTACTGTCATCTGCATCTTTATCAAATCCCAGTCATGCTGGTGACATCTCTGGCGAAGAAGTGGCTATTAAGCTCAAGTCCATCAATGCAAAGCACCCACAGTTTGTTCATAAATATGTGTTTCATTTTTCTCTCATCTAATTCATGTCTCCAGACTTCTCATTCTCTCTCTCAATTTCATCCATCATGACACAAAGCCACACAATCCCCTGATGGGGATTGGGAAATGAGCAACCAAGTCAGCACCACCAACCTCAGTTTTGCAAAGGAGTACTGTGACCCCAAGACTCATCTGCATATCTGGTGTATAGGGAACAAGAACCTCACAGGAACCACCTATTGTACCTCAATAATAACACTCACTTTATGGTTGAACAGGCCTGCCATGATGACTGGCACTTCCTGGCCTTGCGATTGGCCCAAGGCAAGCCTTGTCAAACCTACCATTCCATCCAATGTCTGCTCTCAATTCATCTGTTCCATGGTACAACAGGATTGCCATCATATCCAGATCGATCATTTTGTATAGCACAGACACTCTTTTCTTTCAAGCTATCCTGATCTCCCTCTGGGGAGTGAAAAGGGTGGGTGCCTATTCAATTCTCACTTTTCCAGACTCTCCCCTTCAGTGCCATCCTCATACAACACATACTACTACATTTGCTTCTTCATGTCCCTTCCATGACTGTATATGCTCTTTTTTTCCTGCTCCTGTTTTCCTTTGTGTGGTTGATGCATTAAATTAAAACAGTACTATGGTTGTCATTATCTCTACATACTTCATGCAATGCTCTCTTGTTTCACACATGTACAATATGAAGAAACAATTGCTGAATAAATTTTGTGACAGACTCGAGCAATTCAATATCTTGAATCTCAATGTCCAGAGAGGGATTACCATTTTGGGGCAATTATATAAGCTTCCAGCTATAATATGTGTGAGGTCAGAACTTGAAACATTTTTTTTCATTCAACTACCACTGTTGTTACATGTCAATGACCAACCACACACCCCAGTCCACCACCACCTCTGACAGCAAAGACACAGGTGACCCAAACCAACCAATGGATGCACCCACCCAGCACTGCAACTAATTTTACCACTTGATTTCAGGACAAGCATTTACTGTCTCATCGCTTTACATTGTGTGGCCTGCTCCTTAGGTCAGTTGTTCCTACCTTCCCATCCCAATTTAATACTGTCTCACTGCCAGTCATGCAGCAACACCCCGGACTAGACACCATCCCCAGTTGCAAACCTAGTCCGAGTTACAGAGTCTTCAATGTTACTCCCTCCAATTCCCAACTATATTCTATGTCCCCCCTACTCTCTGACCATTGACCATGCTGGGTACCTGGGTTAGATTATGTCATCTTGCAATGAAAATGACAGTATTGCAATACAGCCTTACACATTACAATGGTGAAAATAGTTAGCAATGGTAGTACAATGACATTGCAACTATGGCTGCCTGGCAAGTCATTGTCAGGCACTTCAGTTGGCAGGCAATGGCTAACAATAGCATTGCAATCATGTGTTCCCAGTGCAGAGTGGCCAGCCATTGTCAGGCATTCCAATCAGCAACCCCTGGATTACACTGCCATGCCAATGAAAACTTTACCACGGCAGGGCACTAACATACATCATCCATTGTAATTACATACAGTCATGTGTAATGGCCATGATTTTTGTCCAACATAATGTAAGACCAATCAAGCCAAGGAAATCTAGCTCCCACATGAAATAGTCCAAAAATCTGGAGGAGACACTAGTACAATTGCATGAGTTGTATGAGCCAACCCCTCCACCAATTGTCTCAAGTGGAAGGGTGGATATGGCAGGGTCAAACATGGATATTGCAGCTGGTGAGTGAACATGATTTCTCTCCAAGCTCAACAACAAATGTTCTTTCATTATAGATTCATGCAAAAGCTTTCTGGATCAATTCCTGCAGGAAAGGGAGCCAACTGCTCTGGCAGAGGGTGGAATCATGGCCAGTGAGTTGGCATGGCTGCCCTTCAAGCTAATGAACAAACTAATTTCTAGTAATAAATCCACATGACACCTTGATGAATTGGTTCCTGAATGAACAGGAACCAACTGCTCCCCCAGTGGATGGTATGAATGTGATCTACTCATGCAAGTGCTGAATGTGTGGGAACCATCAGCACTGCCAGTCATGGACAAGAAATTAAACAGGATGGATGGGTCTTCAACACCAGCACGAGACATTACTATGCAGGTTGATTTTCTGGCAGACTTGCAGAATGTGCAGGAACCATCTCCTCTGCCCATCACCCACAAATCATCAAATCTGAGGGACTGATCTCCTCAACCTGATTCTCTGACTAACCTGCTTGCTCAATTGCAGGATATGAGGGAACCAACACCTCCCCTGCTCATTTCAAATGTACCTGTCAAATCTTTTGACTTGGCAGTGGATGAGGACAATGGCACAAAATGTTTGACTTTTGGCATGCCCAAATGATCAGAGATGAGGGATCTTTTCAAAGAAATATGCAATGGTGAGTATTTATTTCATGTGTTCTATTCATGTGATTGGTGATATCCATCGATTATGTAGGTGAACTTCCATCTGAACAGCAATCTCTTCAAATGGAACAATGGGGATTGGCACCTGTTTTGCATTGCAATCAAGGTATGGGCATGAGCTTAATCTGATATGCTGTTGACATTGATAATTTTAGTCCTGCACACTTACATGCCATGGTATCTTGCTACCATGGAAACACCACTCCCAGTGACATGCCATTTGATCCCACCCTCAATAGGCACCTTGTGTGGGCTGTGAATGCCATTGTGAGAGAATTGGGCACAGCTGCAAGGGACCAGTATGGTGCAGCCTCTCAGGGCCTTTGACTCATCAATATGCTTGATTTGATGGAAGTCATTCATTATCTGCATTCTGCCTTTGAAAATTGTCCTGAGCCATTCATTGCCAGCCATCACACCCATCTTGCCAGTCTGTGGTAGAGATGGGCATCCTCAACTTGGTGTGCCAGATTGAGGTGGCCTCTGTACTTTTGAAGCAGACTGCTGATATGGTGGGATGGCCCACACATTGGTTTGCAAACCTAGCAATGGACTTGGTAGGTTTTACATTGATTTTTCACAGTGTGGGACTGATAAATAATTCCTTCAGAATCAGCTTAATAGCTTGATTCTGGTGACAGTGTCCCATGCCAGTTATACTCTTCCCCTCCCAGTATGCTACCATGTGTACCTCAGACATTAACATGATGAGGTTAGCTTCCATGATCAAATGCAGCTAATTCCCCTTAGTACATTTTGCATAATCAACAATATCAGTGCCATTGACCTGCATTGGACCCCACACACAGCTGATCCCAACTCTGGCTTTGCATTCCCTTGGTGGCTATATCATTCCAAGGAATATGCAGTGGATTCCCAAAGATTGCAAGGCAAGGGATTGTTTTCTGTGGCCTGGGATTTTTTTAAGGTATGCCACTTATTCTCATCACTGCAAATAGTTGATGATGGCCCAGGACTTATGGCGATTGCCTGAGGCACCAATTGCAAACTGTCTCAATGGCCATATTGAGGAGCAGGTAAACTACTGCATCAAAAATATTTGGAAATATGCTGATGTTGTCAATGGTCAGAGTTGACAAATCAACCATTTCTATGCTAGGTGGTGGGCATTGCATGGGTTGTTGGGTGCTGCTTCAATAGTTTACATGTTTTTGACTGTGGAGTTGGTTGTATATACATTGCTGTGAATGTTGATCATTTATGAGATCCCACCCATTCACATGATGTTTGAACCCCTGCCCATCCACATGATGTCTGACAACCTGCCCATCTGCATGATGGCCTGAGTAGTTTTACTTTTGTTGCAGTTTATGATGCACACCCTTTAGCTCTGAGTATGTGCCCAATCTATGATGTCTAAGCACCCACCCATTTGCAAAATCTTGGCAACACCACCCATCTGAAGTTTGAGAGCCAGCATATCCTAATAAAATACAAGATCCACATTGCCTACTAAATCTTACATTAAATTTTGCAGCTTCAAATCAACAGTTCTCCAGTTGCAACTGGTCTGGGTAGTAGGTTGTCCATCTGCAGTGATTGACACATGGGAATGTGCACTGACTGATGTACATTGGCATGCATGTAGTATGCCAGGCATGCTCTGTCACCATCCACAGCTCTCACCCCATGCTCCAATGCTGAACCTGAAAATGCAATGATCATCCCTGGGTTGTAGTGCAGCTGCAGATTCAACATTGGAATGACAAAGTCCAAGGGTGGGTAGTCACCCATGGTTACCAGCATGTCATACCATGGATCCCATTCATTGATATCCCTGTGGCAACAAGTTGCCTAATTCACCATCATGGACATGCTGCTATATGTGGAGCTCCATATCAGCAGTATGGAGCTCATATCTGAATCTGCCCACTGTTCTGCCTGTTTGCCAAGGCAGATCAATTCTTCCCTGCCATCTGCATACATTCATGGATGGATGACATGCAAGATCACAGATAACAGGGCATTGGTGCCAGACATTTGGTCAACCATTCCCTTGTAGAAGTGGTTTCTGTCCTGGATTTGAGCAGCCATGAGGCCTCTGGGAAGCCATTTTGGGGCTTCAAGATGGATGAGCACTTTATTCACAAGGTGGGAAATGATCACCCACCCCATGACCCTGTTGAAACCATGCAGGTGACAGGTTGATGGCACCTTTCAACTCAGCATTATCACAGAAATATGACTTGTCAGTCTGCCATGCCTGTGGGGAAGCCTTTATGCTCTCCTGCAGTGGTTCCCTCAGAAGATGAAGGCAGTTCCATATGTCAGCCTGCCATTCCATTAAGTCAGTAGAATACAAGATTCTGCATTTCCTTACCCTTCTTTTTGGGCTGAGAGCATCTGGCAAATACCATACACAGATGGTGTTTGAGTAGGTCACCAGAATGGATGGTTCAGTCACTTCCACATATCTCTCAGCAGCTTCTGCATTGCAGGTTTTTCCACCCCAATTTTTCCTGACATTGACTGCAGAAAGATGAAAACTTCCATCACACCATTATGATGGACTTACTTGGGCAACAATAGGCCTGTGAGATTACTGATGATAAGTGATCCACTTCACATAACACCAGAAATGGAATTGATATATCTGGAAGGGCATGAGGTCTGCTGAATACCTCCTCTTGAAATCTGGCTTTCATGTATGACACAATGCAGTCTGTTAGTTCCATTTGCTCTAGGGAACAAGTTTGAGTTCCCTAGGAGAATTCGTCTTGGTCAGGAGTTTAGGGGTGGAGGAGTTTCTTTCTCTTTTTCTTTTGTTTTGTGTTTTGTTTTTTGTACCTCTGGACTTAGTGACGAGCAGCTGCATTGCTGACTAAGCACATGTGCTGTGTTTGTGCAAGTTCAACTTACTATACAAGCAATCCATGTCAGAGGCCCTCAGCAGTAGGGTGTTTCATCTCACATTTCAGCAACTTTTTGAAGTTAGATTTATTACTTTGGGGAGTACCCAAAGGGCCAGGAGGACTGGCAAGGCATTTAGATCAGTAGGAAGACATCCCAGAGCTAAGTCTTCATTTTAGTTCACATTTTTTTTACATTTTTACTACACTTCTTTTCTCCAGTGAGAACCTCCCTCTCAGGTCAAGTGCTATACTCACCCATTTACTGACTGATTTCTATTCCTAGGTATCTTCTTCTACCCATTCCTACATCTGGAGCCCACCATGAGGCACAAAGTTGAGCAGGTCATTTCCCTGCGCCCAGACAGCCTTAGAAGTCTTCAGATGACTACCAGGATCCAGTCTCAGGCTATAGAAGCCCCTTTTGGCCTACTCACTCCCCTCAGATATCCCAACAACCCAATCCTCTCCACTCTTTATTCTCTTTTCCTACAACTGGAGCCCACCACAAGGGGGTTTCAGTTCATGTTGGGGAAAGAAGCCACCTCTTTATCACCACACAAAAATTTTTCTGGATTAAGTTGGACAAGCTAAGTGTTCAGAATTTCAATTCTAGTTACAGTCTACACTCAGGAACTCCAAAATTTTTCAGAATTATTTTTCAAGCTGAAAATGAAGACCAAACAACAAAGTCAAAGATCCCTCGAGTCGAAAAGCAAATCTGAAGGGAAATTAATAGTTGAATGTTTGTGAAGAAGCTGTGAGAATGCACTGAGAAAGCTCAAGGGAATGCCACCAAGGCATTCAAGGGACACACCATGGTTCTTGGGGTGTGCATCTGACCTTTTTAGGTATTTTGAAGGGGTTCAAAGTCTTTGTGAGTGTGAGAATTGCTTCAATGACCAAGAATGGGCAAAATGGGCTTGCTGGTATGCAGGCAGTGAAGCCTCAGACTCATGGTATGAATTTGTTGAAGATCAGCTGAGTTGGCCCAAATTTGTGGTGGCCATCACACATTTGTATCCTGGGTCCTGGAAATTGGATAAATGGCATTTGAGGGATGATATTTACAATCTTGTTGACAATCTTGCAAGGAGAAAAGTTCATTCACAGGAGGAGCTAACAATTTACAGGTTACATTCCTCGACTTGGCAACATATCTATGGGTCTCGAGACAGCTCGAGGCTGATGAAGTTGAAGACCTATACTTACACCACTTCGACAAGGAATTCTGGTGCAAAATCGTTTGGAAAATGCGATGCAATGATCAACAGTGACATTTGGATGATCCATGACCCATGCAGCAAGTAATGTATGCAGCTACACAACTACTATGCAAAGGATTTCACTCAGAGCAAGTGCAAACAAGCATGGAAGACTACTATGAGTGGGAATGCCACAAATGTGAAGGTGGAGAAAGTGGGTACTATGCCAAGAGCAGTGGAAGTAATAAATGCAAGGCTGATCACTTAGGCCTGTGTGACATATGTGGTCACACCAATCACAAAACCTCTGAGTGCCACTTCAAGAATAAACCCAAATGCAGACATTGCTGACAGTTCAGCCACACCACTCAAGAGTGTTGGACCAACCCAGATAACAAAGATAAATGGTGAAGACAGAGATCTAGGGACTGAGATAGAGGTCAGGATAGGAAGCGATCTAGTAAACACTCTGGACAATCAGATAAGGCACATCACATGGTGGAGAATATGGACTCCAAAGACAATGTAGCATTTTCTTCTACCAAAAGTGTAGATACAAAGTCCCCCAAATCAGAGACTTATTCTGCATACATGTGGTTGGCTGATAGCACTATTGTTAGATTTGGCAAGTCACATGTAGTCCATTCCAAATGCATCCACTCCAGGTCATGAGAGCTACCTTCCATTTTAAACCTTTTCTTACTTAGCACTATTACTGAACATGCAACAAAATCTCTGTGCCCTTATGTTTATTGTATCTACAGTGTCTCACACTTATGTGCATGCCTTCTTGTTATCCACAAAGACCATAGCATGTCTCACAATGAGACAATACTTATTGTATGTAGATGGGTTTGACACCCAGTGTTTCACATCTTTTGTTACAACTACAGTATTTAGTTCTACACTGTAAACCCCATCACCTCAGACATTGTCACTGTCTGCATGTGACTGAGGTGAGTATGATACCTTTCTGTTTACTTTACTATACTTACCATGCACCTAGTTATCTGCATAGGTGAATATATATAGATGTTGTTGCTGTCTGCACACAACTGAGTTATCTGCATAGATTCTTGTCAGCTATAACATCACATATCTGTGCTCATCATGAAGTGTTCACTACCTACAAGGTACTACTGGACAAAACAGTCTCTGGGATAGGTACCAAGCCAGCTGCCATACCCAGATGTGGCACAGTCACAGTGAATAGTCAAATAGGTGACCAGACAGTTACTGTCAATCTATGCGATGTATTACATGTGCTGTCATTGCCCAATAATCTATTTTCAATTGGCCACTTAGATGCAGAAGGTGGCTGCTCCATCAGTGGAGGAGGCCAGATTGAGTTGTGCAATTCCTCAGGAAACATCATTGCACTGGGAAGGCAGAAAAACCACTTGTATGAACTACAGTTTACAATACCTACAAGGAGCAAGCAAACCAACCTCATAGAAGACATGGCATAAACACTTCAGCCATATTGGGATAAGCAGACTGTTCCACCTGTTCCATAAGAAGTTAGTGAAAGGGTTTGAAGTTGATCTGAACTTGCCTGATTTCAATTGCAAAGCATGCACTGCCACTAAACAGACATGTGAACCTCACCCATCTGAGGCAGTACACTGAGCCTCAGCACCAGGAGAATTAACTCACACAGATGTGTGGGGACTGGCATGAACAATGTCTATACAGTCATTGATACTACATATCATTTATCAATGATGCAACAAGGTACACTATGATGTACTACATGAAACAAAAGGGGGAGGCAACAGAATGCATCAAAGAATACATGCAGATGTTAGAGAGACAGAAAGACACACTCCATAAATGAATCAGATGTGACAATGGGACTGAATACATCAACAATGCACTGGTAACATGGTGCAAAGAAAAAGGAATACTGCTAGAACCCATGGTACCATACTTGCCATCCCAAAATGGCATGGCTGAGCAATTCAATCGAACTGTCATAGAGCTGGGATGGGCGATGCTGCTGGCAAGGGATCTGCCAAAGTTCCTGTGGTGTGAGGCCATCAGTCATGTGGTCTATGTATGCAACTGTGCATGGACATGCACCTGTAAGAGAATGCCCTATGAGGGATGGCATAGACAAGAGCCTGATGTATCACACTTGCAAGAATTTGGGGCATGCATATGGATCCTCAACAAACACCAGATGATCTCCAAGCTGGATGCAAGATCACACACATATCTTTGTGGGCTTCCTAGATGGCCTGCATGCTGTTCAATACTTCAACATGCACACAAGACAGATATGCACTGTCAGAAACTACTGATTCCATCCAGAGACTGAATCACCTCCTTGAGACCTGCCACTTGCAAGGGGAGACACTAGAGGTGAAGGAGAGAGAGTTGTCAGCAATAAGATGGAACCAAAATGGAAACAAACAGAGTCACATGATGAGCCCATGAGGTGAAGCAAAAGGGCCTGGACATCACATGATTACAATGTGTTGAATGATCCATTACCCAATTTGGACAAATTACCAAACAATGATCAAACATTGGATAACTGCAAACTCTTGTCAGTGGAGCGAGTGTACTTGACATTCAATGAAAGTACACTGGGAGAAGGGGATCCCAAAACACTATGAGAGGCTAAAGCCTCACCTGAGTGGCTGGAATGGCAGAAAGCCATAGAAGCCAAATTACAACAATTGTGTGAAAAAGGGACATGGATATTAGTAGATCCACCAGAAGGGTGCAAGCCCATATCAAATAAATGGGTATTTACCTGAAAATATGACAGGGACAGGGTACTCCAAAAATACAAGGTGAGATTAGTCACCAGGGGGTACTCCCACGTCCCAGGAATGGATTACAATGATACATATTCCCCAGTCATCAGACTGGAAACAACATGCCTTATCTTATCATTAGCCAATGCCCAAAACTGGGAAATCCAACAGATGGATGTGAAAGGTGCATATTTAAATGGCAAAATAAAGGAAGAAATATACATGGAGCAGCCTGAAGGTTTCAATGATGAAACCAGATGCCTATGTAAATTAATTAAAACATTATATGGACTAAAGCAATCCAGACAAGAGTGGAACAAAGAGCTGAATGGCCAGTTGCAGACTGTTGGTTTCCCTCACCTCCACTCCAACCCTTGTGTATACATAAGAAAAACCTCAACTATGATCTGTCAGTCACTGTGCACACATCATTCCTAACACATACAGTTGCATGATGTGTTAGATGTACAACAAATTAGGACCAGGGGGCTGGCCATAGCCTCAAGTCCAGCAACACACACACACACACAGATATAGTTTTATCTATCTGAGTGCATCCTTTTTGTTTGTTGACACTCCTGTGTTATGTGTGTACCAGTGGGTGATCTGCATAACACTAAGAACACCTCATGTTTCTTGTGCATTCTATTGTTCTGCTGACATGCTGTGCAGTGTATTATAGGCAGTCTGCATAACTGCAGAATTCTTTTGTTCCGCCAAAGTTGGAGAGGACCTACAGATTGTGTGTGCCACCATCATTTCGTGCATGGCACTAGTCAATAACCGAGGAAATTGACAACAGGAATGACCATCACAGCTGTAATGGTCAGTGTGAACTAAATTTGGATCTCCGAGACGGCCGAACAGGAGATGTACTTAACCGCGCTGAGGCGGCACGACTCTTGCCACTCAGTACTCAACGTTCGACGTTCAACCTCCAGGCTCCCGTCACCACACAACACTAGTGCCCATCTAACGCGACTCCTGTTCTATATCTTCACCTGCCAGTGACCATGTCTGGTCCCAGCGGCGCAGCAGTGGAGAGTCTTTCTCCGCCACCCCCACGCACAACTCCAGATGCCGACCTACGTCAATTGACTCCAAGCAACCGAGACCTCTCTGGGGCGAGCGGACAGCTCCATATCCACGGCGTTCGGTGCGTTCGTCCACTTTTGTCTTCATCGAGATAAATCTGATTCATGACAACAACCAAGTACTAACGAACTGATACCTTGTGTCACGGAAGACGTCCACAAAGCACAGCAATGCGAGGCAGACAAAATGCTCGAGTACATACTGAGGCGTGCTTCGGAGACGCCAGATGACCTTGAGAACTTGGATAGTTATACCCTATTGGGCAGATGCATGGAGAAGGTTCTGCCCATATGTAATGAGGAGGTCAAAGATATCAACGGATTCCCGGTCTCGAACATCAAAACGGCTCTCAAAAATTAGTAAGTTTCGTGACTTGCGTGCCGGTGTTGATGTCAGTGTTCTTTGCTAACGTCTTGTGCCAGCACGACGTGTGAACAGGAGGATGGCTTGTACCAGTCCTTTGTCCTGGCGTCCAACACTGCTCTTGCGCACCTGCAGAGCCTGGAGATCGTTGGTATGCGTAAAACGGAAAGCGCGGAAGTACAGATTTTCTTTCAGCGCAACGATCCAGGGGTCATCTCTCATATTTCGGAACGCAAACCAGATATCGTCGTTATTCCATTCGCGAACACTGGAGCCAGCGACTTGGGCGACCATGTATCGACGATAGGCCCAGGTAAGGCACCCACGGCGACCTCGTGGAAGGATGTGCTCGGCGTCTTCAAGTTCAAGCGATCCAAGTCGGTAATGAGTTCTCCTCCCGCGAAATACATCGTGTCCGGGTACCGAGCTTCCAAACCAAAGTTTTTGGAGATTGGCAAAGATGGATATGAACTGGAAGAAACAGAGCCGCAAGAGGCTCCTGTTGCCAAGGGAGCGACACTCGCAGGACAGACTCCGCGTAAGTAATGGCACTACACTTGTTCAGTCAGGTTTAACATGCAGATCAGGTCCTAACATCACTCCTGAAAGCACTCGAGCGGCACCCAGGAGACGCATATCGGGGGCCGATTCTGAGTCTCGCGCAAGCAAGCGATCCAGGACTGAGGAGCCCCGGGAACACGTAACAATCCAGACAGCGCTGTGCGCTGCTGAAATGCATTCCGCCAATATTGCGGTGAAGCATGCCCTCAATTGTATTGTTATAGGTGCGTATTTTTTCTCGCTTGTGAGCGGATTGCGCTGGACGCCTTTCAGGCGATGACATTTGGATTTGGTATTACGACCATCAAGGCCTCATCAGCGTGGCAGGGTTCAATTTTGTTCAAGATCTCCCTCGCTTTCTGGTGCTGTTATACGCTCTCCAGCGATTCAATTTGGAGGACTGGGGTCGAAACACAGAATTTCAACCGAATCTAGAAGGGGACCACATCAAGTCTCACACTATCAAGATCGATGGAAAAACACTGACACTGCACAACTGGAAGAGACCCACCTGGATTGGGCCTAGAGGATGTGGGACTACTGTTATGGACGTCACCTGCGATACACTGAAGCTGGAGAAGCCGGGGGAAACGACGGCCGACGCCATGGTGGCGAAATTTTCCTGGGCGGAGGAGGCGCGAAATGAAGAGGAAAAAATTTTGGAATACGTTGCGCAAACTGTGGGGAAGGACCGGGACGTTCAAGGACACGTGCCGACCTTGTTCTTCTCGAAGAGGTTTCGGGTTTCCACATGTACAATTAGGAGGGCTCTTGGCCTCACGAACCCTGAGAAAGGCAGCCGGACGCTCGTCCTGCTCGTGTTCAAGAAGCTTTCGCCAATCAACGAGCTCAAAGGCAACGAACTAGTTGACGCGTGGTGGCAGTGTGTTTTGTGTAAGTCCCACTTTGTTTTTGCGGTGCCTTGGTGCTGACAATCATTCTATTGTAGGTCACCGTGCCCTCTGGAATGCCGGGATCCATCATCGTGACGTGAGCGTCGAAAATCTGATGTACTCTAGGGTGGGAGGCAAGGTGATGGGCGTCTTAAACGATTACGACCTTTCGTCTTTGACAGGTTCTCCCAACCCGTTGGATAACGAGCGGACTGGAACAACACCGTTCATGGCGATCGATCTCCTCGAGGAAGGTGGTCAGAATGACAATGTGAAGCACCAATACCGCCATGATATGGAATCGTTCATCTGGGTATTCATCTGGATTTCCCTGCAATACAAGGACGGCTCGTCGCTAGAGCCCGGACCCCTGGATTCATGGGCCAATGTCCATGCCCGTAAATGCGGTGAATTGAAGAGGATTTTCCTGTCTGCCGCTGACACTGAAGTGCCTGGCGACATCAACAACCTCGCTCTTGTGTTGACGCTCGTGTTGTTTCTTTGGGAGCGCCTTGGTGCCCGTAATGATTTCATGATTGGGAAAAGGCTTGCTCTGTCAAAGCTGCAAGGTAAAAACCAAGAGACTACTGCACAGCTTGAAGGGCTTGTTGAGGAATTCAACAATCGGGTCGTTGAGGAAACACAGTTTACAGAGTTCTGTCGCGTAGTGGAGCAGTATATTAACAAAGATCGTGTCCAGTGAATTTCATCTGTACAACCTATGACATGCCGAAGCAGCACATCAGGCTTGCCACAGTGACAGAATATATTTGGCTGTATCAGGGTTCCAAACACCACAGATTTTCTGAGATTTTGGGCTGCTTTTAATGATGAATGGAATTTGAGTGCTGTACTTGAAATATAGTTTATCATTTGATGAATGACCAGATTTCAAACATAAACACACTGTGAAATGTTTGAGTCTACTTCAAATTTTGGCATGCATTCTGTCCCAGTCAGAATGTGGGTTCCAACTTTGACCTTAGTTCCAGTACAAATCTTGGGCACAATTTCAAGTTTCACTCTCATGTATGAATACCAGCACAACTTTAAGCTCAAATAGCACTAAATTTTTGGCATGTGCTTCAAGTATGAACAGACAATAAGACTGCAAAATTTGAAGTTTCAACAGTGGCTCACATCTAGAGATGGTTTTCAAATATTGTGCAAATTTTATATTCATAGTGTGATCATAGCACAATCATTGTGCAATGACCCTCCATTCATTGCCCACTCACAAGACATTAGCAGTACTGGCAGCAAGGGCAAGTCACCCCACTCTGGTGAACAACTTCATTACATACATACATCTTTATCACTATTTTCAAATGTCTGGTTTGAGACCTGTATTCCATCTGTACTGGTAGTGGGGGCAAGTCACCTCACTCTGGTAAATAGTTATATTCTCTTCCTTGTATCACCTTGAGCCTACCACTATTTTCATCCATGGAAATGTCTGGTTTGTGACCTGTATTTCTTCTAGCTGCTGCTGAGAGAGACCTGCAATCCAAGCACTATCATACAAAGCCATCAGCAAACCTTTGACTGGAGCCCTAGAACTTGCTGGATTATCAGTTGAACACAGCCACCTCAGTGGGAGTGACCCCTAGGGCACAAAAACATTGACATCGAGCAACCACTGAAGATCCATGAGCTCCAGCTCCCTATTAATACATTGATGCCATCCCAAATTCTTGATGTGAAGTACCTCCATGACCTCATTCTCGATGCCACTCTCCTTGGAACTCATCCCATGTTTGCCAAGTCGGGTGACAAGGTTGTGGAGCCATTTCCAGGCATTAAGATCATCCTCATTCTCCTCCATTTTTAGTTTGACAATGTGAATGAGAATTGCTAGCATTTCTTGTAATTTCTTATATCAGAAATGTCACCACAAACACAGGAACTTTGTTCTTGAGCATTTTGGCATTGGAGAGCTGGTGATAAATAAGTATGACATCATAAACCAAGCAAGAGTGAGGAAGGAGTGTGTGTCAACTTGACAGATATCCAAGATCTTGCTATTGCTGATGCAGTCCCTGATGAAGGTATTGCTCCATTGTTGCACACAGCACAGTTTAAGTCTGTTCATGTCATATCCATGACTCTTGGACTCAATCCTGGTCCAGTCCAGACCCCTAGCCCCTATCTCCGGTCAAGCCTGGTCTTAGTCTGGCCTAGAAAACTCAACTCTGGCCCTAGATAACCCAATTCCAACCTGAATAACTCAAGTCTGGTATTTTACCCCTATGTCTGGTCCACTCTGGCCTCCCAGCCTTGCACTGCTCCACCCTGGTCCTCCCAGGTCCATGTCTGGGTCACCCAGACATAACTCTGGTCCATTTTCCTTTGTTTGTACTATATTTAGTCTAGTCTCCTTTTGTCTGACTCTGCTTACTGTACACATCCTGTGTCCAACCCTGGTTCAAGTTCCCTAGGAGAAGTCATCTTGGTCAGAGGAAAATAGGGGTTGAGGGACTTGTTTTATTTCTTGCTTTTGTTTTCATGTTTGTACCACTGGACTTGGTGGCAAGCAGCCATGTTGCTGACTAAGTGCACATGCTGTGTTCATGTGAGTTCAGTTTACCACAAAAAATTCATGTCACAGGCCCTCAGTAGTAGTAGGGTGATATAGTCTTGCATCTTGGCAAGTTTTTGAGGTTAGATTTATTACTTTGGGGAGTACCCAAAGTGCCAGGAGGACTGGCAGAAGGTATTAGACAGGCAGAGCTAAGTATTCATTTCAGTTCGCATTTTTTTCACTTATACTACACTTCTTTCTCCAGAGAGAACCTCCCTTTTGGGTCAAGCACAAATCTCACACATCACTGACAATTTCTATTACTAGGTATCATCTTTTACCTATTCCTACACTGGTCACCTGGACTTTGACTATTAGCCTCAGCACAGCTGCTGTGGCTATCCTCACCTTGCTAATCATCTCACTATTAGCTTATTAACAAGTCTGGCTTCATGTTCATTACTCTGGACCAGCCTCATGTATTTAACCCCTGTACATACTTCATAGCACCCTCAGTCAGAATATCAATTTAGTATTACCCTTGACTCTGTATTACCCCTTGAGTCTACTCTATAGCTAAGGCCAAGCCTTAAGCTATCCCTGGCCCCTGTTCTGGACCTGTCCCTGGCTTGCATAAGGGTACAGCACATAAGCTGAGACCAAGGGAGGTAGATCCAACCCCAGACCAGCTTCCCCCTGTGCACACTCCAAGACCGGTTGGTTTCCCATGCTCCTGGCCTTGTTCCCATGCTCCCAGCCTTAAGTCTGGTCCTCTGGACTTAACCCCTGACCTCCAACCTTAATTCCAGTCCAACCAGACTTAGCCCCTGTCACCTGGTCTTGAAGCCTAGTCACCTGAGGGTAAACCCATACTTGACAGTTCATCAAATGAATGAATGGTGCATCCTCATATCAAACAGTTTGACCCACAACCTCAGACACCATTTTGTCAATGCATCTACAACTTTGGGAACAGTATACTCTCAGCTCCCTCTTGAATGCCTCTCTTGAGAAGTGTTGGTTGAGTTCCCTCATCACCTGTATGACTTGTGCCACCTTGGTCTCTTTGGACCATGAGCTGATCATAGAAGTGACTGAGTGCATTTGGGCAATCAAATGTGATTCTGATTCTTGGTAGGCAGCATGGAGGGACAAGAGCTGTTTTGGAAGGATAAGGGACTTCAGTGCAAAAAAAAATGAAGACCTGTTGTGTGTGATGAATCTCAACTTGTATGTGTCAATTGCACCCCAAGTGGTGGGTCACTCAGTGAACTCCGCTGTGCTGGATGTCCAAAATGACCATTGTCCCAAATTCAAGACTGAATTTCACCCCCATAGCATGCACCCAATGCTTTTCCAATCTGCCAAGGTGTTTGGCCAGCATAACCTCAAATACATGACCCTGGACCATGAGCCCTGGCACCTTTTGCTTTGGAGGGCAATTACATTTTTGATACTGTTGCTGGGGAAGCCATGCTTAGCTCAACTCAGGTTGATTCCCTTCTCAAGTTGATTCATTGTATATGGCAAGGAACACCAAGTGATACCATTGTACTCTGTAAATTCACTGTCTTTCTTCCTGTTAGGGCAGAACACAGATGACCTTGCTACTTAGGCTAGCAAGATTACTTGAATTCCAGTTAAAGAGACAAATGTTCTAAACTTACCTGAGTCCAGTGTATTCCTACCATGAGGACTCACTATACCCATCAACACATCATCTTCATTGAGAGCAAAGCCAGTTGGTGATCCTGTCCCACAACATGTGAGCATTGAGAGTGACACTAAAGTGGTCTACATACCAGGAATTGATTGTGAAGGGCAATGATGGACCCAATCCCAATCCTGATGATCCTGATGGTGGTCCTGATGGTGGGGGCAGTGGTGATGAGGATATCCCTGAAGACCCAGCTGAGCCACCAGAAGACCCCTTGTCACTCTTGCTAGAGCTGTTCATGTGCTTGCATGGTCTAGTTCACACACTGGGGCCACTCTGAAAACCAAGGTCCATGAGCCCAACACCTTTGATGGCTCCAACCCTAAGAAACTCCATGAGTTCCTCATTCAATGTGAGTTGAACTTCCAAGACCACCCCTGTGCATTCCACTCTGACAGAGCAAAGGTTGCCTTTGCTCAGTCCTACCTGAAGGGTATGGCCCCAGCTTGGTTTGAGCTGGACCTGCTAAACCCCAAAGACTATGGCCATCTGCTCTGGATGGACAACTACCATGAGTTCTTACATGAACTCACAACTGATTTTGGTCTGCATGGTGCCATAGCTGATGCCATCCAGCAACTTGAGAACCTTACTATGAAAGATGGCTCTCAGATCACCAAGATGTTGTGGAGTTCAATTGTTGGGCTTCACAGGTCAAAGACTATGGTGTTGGTGCACTCTGCCACTGCTTCTACAGCAGACTGTCAAAGTTGCACAACACCCCTGACTTCCTCTTAGGGTGGAGTAGGAGTGGGTTGGGCTGTGGAGTACAGAGGTCAAAGTCCAAAGCAATTCTGACCACTGGGTGGTGAGATATGCAATGAACAAGGAGCAGAGGAGTATGCAGAGAAGTTTCAGAGGCAGGGGTTGGAGTTGGAGGTTAGAGGTCAGATGGGAGGGTGTCAGGTTCAGCTAGTGTGCTTCCCCCCTGTGTGAGCTCAGCCCTCATATTTCAGAGGTAGAGCAGACTCAGAGGAGTGGAGAGGGAGTTGGGAGTGGGGACTTTATTGTCAATATACACTCAAAGATGAGTGCTGAGGGTTGGGGGTGCTCCTGATGAAGAGGGAGCAAGATTGCAAGGGGATTGTGATGGGGTAAACTGCTGTCAGCCTACAGAAGGATTAATGACAACTTAACTTGATGTTCTGAGCTGTACTGAGCTCAGGGAAGACTTGGAGTGAAGTATATTGATGATAGACAATGATAGGCAAAGTAGATGTATCTTGCAATAAAAAAGCAAGATGTGCATCATACTCATTGTGGATAAGATCAGGGAGAGTGGAGAACAGCAGATTATACTGCAGCTGTTGCAATTTTGGAAGAATGAAGGACAAGATTAGTATGAAGACATTGCAGGGAGCAGGGAGGAACAATGTGTATGCTTCTTGGAGCTGGGAGACTGAAACAACCACATAAGACCTTTCTAACCAAATGACAGAGCTGAGGCAACCAAAGAACATCCTCCTAGAGGTCATACTGACAAAAAGAATGCACTGTCCAAGCTGGATGAGCTGAGAGGGGGAAAACAAGGATGGGATGTACCAGGATGCTTCAGGATGGAAGCTACATTGAACTCCTGGGAGATATATGTAGCCATGGTCCCTAGTGAAGAGGGCAAGTGAAATGAGTGTCTTTTGGAGGGAGT